ATAAGCTTCCAGAATGGAGAAAAAATAAAGTGACTTTTCACATGGGAATGTCAACAGATGAGGTTATTACTGTGTGAGGATTCTGAGATGGGAGCCTGATGACCTTAATACTCTGCACTGTAGACTGGTGGTTTAGCAGCTGTCTATAAATCAATTGCTCTATAAATTAAATTGCTCCAGTAAAGGGACAGAAACTATTATGTATGTCAAGGTAAATTGTACCTGTTTATGAGTCAGGAAGGTAACCTGCCTCACAGTTTCTTCAGTTTGGATTTCTGAATTACTTGGATTAATCTGCTTCCTTTAATTTGAATTTAACTTTCCTTGAACCCAAATAGCTACAAGTTAAAAATAAGCTACAACTTCTGATGTTCCACAAATGATTGGCTTAATGTGAGATACAAATGTGCTGTATTTAACAAATATATCATGAAATGATGGTCAGAACAATACAAATAGTGAGCACATGCAATGTTGGCTAAACAGTCATCATACAATACTGTCTCCCAAGTGTTGTCAAAAAAAAATCTTTTCCAGATTCAGTGTTCTACAGAATTTGGAAACACAAAAATACACTTTTAAGTGTGGGTAAAAAGTTTAATCACAGTGTCATATTTATCTTTTTTTTCTTTCTTTTTTTTTCCTTTAGTACTCACTTAATGAAAGAAAACTACTTGAAATGAGGACAGAAATAGTGGAATTGGTAAGAACTTAGTAGCTGATTACTATGCAGAAAATCTCTTTAAAGTTTTGTTATTACAGACCTGGTATTCTTTTTGGAGTTGTTAATGTCTTTAGGCGCTGGAACGTACAAAATTTCATTGTGCTTTTTTATTTCCCTATGTTTTTTCATATCTGTACAGGTAACCAGAGTGTCTACTGAATAAAAAGGCTTTGATCTATATTATTAGACCTTCTGCATGTGTATAGAAACTATTCAATGGTCACTTTGTTTTCAAATGTCATGCATATTGTATTTTCTCTAGATGGAATTTACTGTTAATACTAGTTTGTGAAATTATTCAGTGACACTGAAACGTATTGCTAGATCAGTTTGGATTTGGTTTAGAGGACTTTTTTACCAAACACTCCCTCTTCCTTTTGTTTTCTTTCTCTATATAGCAAATTATTACTAGGAGGATGCCTAGCAGTAAATCATTAACTGCCTCACAGTGTTTCAGTGGTGCTGATTTAAAAATATCAGCAACTCAGCAGCTGTTGTTTTCAGGTTAAAAGTTTGATCTTCCAGTCTCTTCTGAGTAATAATTCCCATTTTTTCACAGTTTTGTCTTCTGTCCTAATCAGGTTCTTAATTTGTCTGCAACTGGTGAAGATACACATTTTTACATCAGAAGACCAATTCTCTGTTTTTCTAATGATCCATACATTTCTATGCTTCAGTATGTTTTTGTCACAAGAGGCTCTTAGACTTCTCCACAGCTCTTATAATTGAGCAGTGACTTTAATAGTGGGCCAAATGATAGATTGAAGTTAATGTTTGTGCAGTTAGATGGAGATGTGATGGCATCCAATTCTGCTGCTTTCTAGATTGTGTTAAGGAACATGTAATTCTATAAATTTCCCAAGTTCATTAAATTATTCAGTTTCATGGATATAATCAGCTAGGAAGGAACTTGTTCTCTTTCCATGCAAATTAACGATACACTTACGGACGAACGAAAAAATAGAACTTGAAGGGATGGGTTGAATTTCTAAATAAACTAGAAACTGTTCCAATTGCATAATTTTGTTACTTTGTATTTTAGCATGCACAACAAGATCGAGCTCTGACACAAACAGACAGAAAAATAGACACAGAAGTTGCAGATCTGAAAACAATGCTGGAATCGCACAAACTTGATAATATTAAGTACTTAGCAGGTAAGGAATCTGACAGTTGTGTGTGGTTGTGAAAGTGTTAAACATTGTTAAATGTTTGGCAGACTCTTGATTTGTGGTATTAATAAAGGCCCCAATTAAAAAAAAACAAACCCCAAAACAAAATTTGAAATAGTCTCAGTCAAGATTAACAGCTTTACTTGCGTACTTAACCCCGACAAGGTTTCCTGTGATTCACAACTTAATTTTGTATAGGCTATGGCTGTAGGACTTTCTGTCTTTTTCCTCTGCTGTATGCTGTAATAATAATGTGTATGAGAAATCTAAAATGCTGCCTGTTAAGGAGGGCCAAAGAGTTCTGTGCCTGACTTAATTTATAAAAGTTGCATGCTGCGTGTATTTCTAGCATCTCTTCATCTGCCTGATGGAGCTCTATAAGCAAAATGGAACATTTCAGCTTTTCTCTCTGTTCAGCACCACGTGTTCTTTAAACTTCCATTTTTCAGATGTGTGCAATAGAAAAATACTGTGTGTTGCCTGTATTACTGCCCTAGGTAACTAATGTTTTGACATTTTGCTACTGAGTGTGCAGTGCTATTAAATGAGCAGGTTTGCAGTAGAAAATTACTCTTCTGATTTAGATTTTATGATTATTCTTTCACAATGAATTTTTAAATTTATTTTCTTACATGGGGAAGGGGTGGTGGTTTGAGTTTGTAGTAAGATATATACCTAGCTTCCTGAAGTAATGTTCCAAGAGCTAATGATTTCATGTCTCCATTTTCCTCCGCATTTTTGTTTTCTTTCAGGTTCGGTATTTACATGCCTTACTGTAGCCCTGGGATTTTATCGTTTATGGATATAATAAACCATCAATTTAAAGGGACTTCTACTGTCTTGATTTCTGAACAAAAAGTTTTATTTTTGCCTGGACTTTAACCAGGCCTTGACTGTTTTATTTATTGTTTGTTTCCTAAAGCAGACTGTCTTGAGAATATAACCAAAGATGTGCCTAGAAAAAAAAATGTACAGATGTGCATATTTTGAAACTTACCTCTGATGAAAACATGGTATGTGCGTTTCTGCCATTTCTCTCCATTCTGAACTGCAGTGCACCTTGCTGCTACTAAGTGTCATAGAAGCAAAGACTGGCATTTGTACCAATCCCATGGAGCTGCATGCTGTAGAGGAGACTCTACGGAGTAATGTGTCATTGACTATTCAGACGTGCTTACTGGAGTCAGTTGCGTGTATCAGATCAAAGTCTTGATCATTCATGTAAAACTGAAACTACATGTTTTGTGGCTTGGAGGCACTCTTGTATAAGTGGAATGTGTGTTAACTGAATCATGCTTACTACCCTCCTTTTAACAGTTGTTCATGCAGTTACTATGATCATATATTTGTTCAGCTATTTTTGTAACACTGTAGTTATCAGCTTGTTTTCCAAATGGCCGTCCAGTCAGTTATGTTTCATGTGTAATGATAGCAGCCTTTGCTGCTAGTATTATTTGTAATATCTTTGTAAAGGTTTTTGTGACTAACTTGCCTTTGGTACATATTAGTATCTAATACTCATTCCATATGCTAATTGTTAGCTTTACCACTGTAACTGGAAGTTTCAAATGCAGTAAAATACACTAGTTTTAATTGGTTAAGTGATACAAAGTGTCTCTGGTGCTGCCTTCTTCATGGAAGGGAGTTGATTCTTCTAGAAAGGAAAGTAATTTTAAATGGAAATTATGATGCAGGGTTTTGGGCAAGGGAACTGCAGTACAAACAGTCTTCTGGGTTGGTTTTTTTTTTGTTGTTTTACTTTAAAAAAAAATAATAATTCCTGTTGGTTCTTCAAATGTGGAACTTTTATAAAGTGATTCTAATAATGAAAACAGTAATGCAGACCTGCAAGAATGTTTAATCCATGTTCTGTGCAAGCCCATCTGAACTTGTAAGTACAGCTGAAAGCAATGAAGGAAGGTATTCCAGTGTATCCAGATGTCTGTCATTCTTCTACTGATGAAATGACTGCTTCAGTAGCAGAACTGCCATCTGCCTTCCTTCATTTAAGGGAGATTTTGCTTTCTTGCTTGATCTTGGGAGGCAAGAACAATCTATGCACTGGTAATAAATGCTGTTAGAGCACAATCACGGCTTTGCTTAACAGAAGTAAAGCTGTTTGTCTACTCTGTGCCTGTACTGTAATAACCATTCAACTTGGTGGTTAGAAGTGCCAACTTCTATCAGGTGTGTGTGTGGACAAAGAAATGGATGCCTGTAACAATATGATAACTGGCCTGAAATAAAGGATTTTGAATATTTCATAGAATATGCTGAGTTTTCATTATAAATGGAACTTTTAAATTTGAATTTTATATCTTTTTTTGATTGTAAGTCACTGCTAATAGGTCTTCTAAGTTAAGAATGAGCAAAGTCAGCAGCCCCTCTAACACTCAAAAGAACAGTCAATAATGTAAGGAAAACTATTAAGAATAACTTATCCCATCTAAATTGAATGAATCTATATTTCAGATCTTCACTTTTTTGTTTAAAAATATTTTTTGTACTAACTTATTAGAACTTGACACTTTCTTAAGTTAGACAAGCAATAATTTACTATTTGGAATGGCTTCAGTGTTGGTTCTTATCTTCCCAGGACACACGATTCTATATATGTCTGTATAACCAGTACACCTTTGCCTGTATGCCTGAGCATCTGATAAATAGTCATTAAAACACTTAGAGCTAATTTTAAATATAAGGTCTATCCTGCTAAAAACAGAAACTCCACAAATAAATTTATTTTCATGGCAGGTGGAAGGAGGAAGTGAAAGATAATAGAGCAGCATTGTCCTGGAATTAGCAAAGTGTCAGGCAAACCAGCACTTCTTGGTGAGTGTTCTAAATGAGGATTAAAGTTAGTATGTCATTCAGGAAAAGGACACTATAAATAGAACATAGTTATTATTTCCTATCCCATGAAGGTTTCAAGTGTGGATGCAAAATCTTCTCTGATTTCCTCTCATTTTAAAGATCAGTTTAGCAACCTTTCTTAACACAGTCTCATAATGTGTACCACATGTATTGGCAACCCAAAAGGGTAGAAAATCCCTTCATCTATTTCCAAACACAGATTCCTTCAAAGAGAGATTGAAATTCCAAGAATGACCATTTTGGTACAGGTGAGAAGCAAGTAACATCAGGAGGTTGAGTGTCAAATGATCACTAAATTAATAAATGGGAGATCTATGTTTGCAATTCTTCAATATTTTTTTTTCTGTAAGACACTTTCTGTATCATACAGTATATTGTCTGTATTGAATCAGTAGCAATTCTAAATGTACAGAAATAACTTTTTCCATTCTCTGACTTCATTTCTTGATTTTTTTAAATTTGCGGAGCTCTTTTAAAAGATGCAAATGAAAAATAAATGGGCCTGTTTTACCATAAAAACACTTAAGCTGTGAAAATCTGCAGTAGCTCCCAACTGATTCAGAAATGTATCTGTTCATTTCCTGTCTGGCAGGAAAAAAGTATAGAAGAAAAAAAATTAATCTAGAAATGTTCACTCTGTCAGGCTCCCTCTTTAGTTTAGTTTGCAAGAACACAGAGTGCAGCTGAAGCTGAGCTCCAATTCTGGTTTGCTTTCAGAGAAAGCCCATCTTTAGTGGGAGCATGGAAGAGCAGCAGTCTGCCTATGCCAAAATGAGTTGTGAGTTTTCCCTGTGAACTTCCACTTTCACAATGACAGGAGGTTGTTTAAGGATTTGTTTCCTTTTGGGAAATAAACTTGCAAATGACTCCATTTTCTGGAAAACCTAAATTGCTCCAAAAGCTTCTTTGTGTTTTGCAGAAAAAGAAGAAAAAAGAAAAGAAAGTGCAAGTGTTTACTTGTAATTCGTTAGTGGAAGGATACTGAGTTTAATTAACTGTTTGTCTGTCTTGCTTTCCCTCTTGTTTTCAGTAAAAATCTGTAAGGGTGCTGTCTCCTTTTCACTGGGATGTATTAGTTAAGTTGTTTGCTTCATGTATTTTATTACTGTTAAATCATGTTTATCTAGCCCTTTCTCTATTGGAAGTGTTGATTGCATCATTTATTTTCTCAGATTGTTGTAGAGTTGTACTTAAAACTGTAAGGTGACAAATGGAAACACTTTTTGATGAAGGTATGCAATCTTCAAGTTTTCTAACCACAAATGTTTTGGTTTACTAGAATAAGCCTTATTCTAGTTGTGAATATTCATTTCACTGATCTTGTAAAAAATGGTGAAATCTAGTTCTATTGGCAGTACCTGCTGACTTTGAAGAAGGTGTGCTCTTGCCTTCTAGATACTTTTGAGTCCTGCCACTTCAGTGGAAGATGAAGCTTCCATCTATAGACCTTGCACAGGAAAACTGGTGAGGTTTTGTGTGTGTGTGGTTTGTTTTTTGTTTTTTCATCTGTGAAGTTAGCTACATTTCTGTGACCTTTGAACTACTGGCTTTAAGGTGTGAGCAAGACTTAGTTATGCATCTCCCACTGAGTTTTAAGTAATCAAGTAAACTGATTTCATTATGATTTCTAAATGGTCAAAACTCTGCTAGACAATTCAGTACTTAACAACCACCACATAAAGTCTCTTTCAGTGAAAAAATACACTGTAAAATTAATGGATTTTTAAAAAATGTTTTAAAATATTTGGAAAAGTTGTATTTAGAAGTTATTTCTTACTTGGAAAATGTTTTTAATTCTTTTTCCTTTAGGTATATGTGTCTTGAATTTATAGGACTTTTTGGTGTGGGGGTAGGATTTTTTGTTTGTTTTAAAGTAAAATTTTCTGTATAAGCAATTAATTTTCTTCACCCCTTAAACAGAAAGTTCATTTACAATCAAATACATGCCTGGAAAATTGGGGGTTGCTTTAATCAGAAACAAATGTATACAGTCATGGAGACAGAGGGCCTGCTGTGTCTTTGTTAGGAAAGCTTCCTTCTGCTTCAAACACATTTTTACCCTATTGCCAAACATTTCAAAGCAGCAGCGTTGATTCTTTGTTTTACACTTAATTCTCTAACAGAGCTATTGCCTCATATGCTTTACATGCAGTTTTGTAAGTAGATAAAGATCGCAGGGGGAAAGTATCAGTGTTTGCGTAGTGTTCCTTGAAATCTATCCATTCCAAGAGAGAAGATTCCAGTTTTCTTGGGCAGATGCCCAGCTGGTATCAAAAGCAAAATACTGGAAGTGAGTAACTATTTTGGCAAATACCAGTTTTGGGCCAATGTTATCCCCTTAGTGAGGCACATCAATGTCATGTTCTATTTCAAATACCCTATCTCCCTTTGCTGTCCTGATATGCACCCTACCAAACTCTCAGAAGTTCATTAGGTTCCCCGTTGTCTTCTGAAATTATATAATCTTGATTCAAGTCAAGAATAATACTCATTGTGAATAGTCTCTTCTTGTTGCACAAGTGAAAATGTAGCGAGGATAAAAAAGAAGGGCGGTGTTGTGGTGCATTTGTTTTTTCCTGCAGTAAGTGGCATGTGTTCTGTGAGAACTTTAAACTGAACCGTATGGAGCATGAATATCCTAATGGCATACTTGTAGCAGGCAATTGCATTTGATCAAGTCAAGCTTGTATATCGGGCTCCTGAGTTTGCTTCAGCACCATCAAGGGGGAGTAATAGCAATCCTGGCAAGGGAAGGGAAGCAGGGCAGGATTCTCACCATGAAGAGAAAACTCAAGAGTTTAAAATATTTATATTTTAATATAATAGAATCATAGAATCATTAAGTTTGCAAGAAGACCTTAAGGATCATTAAGCTCCAACCCCCCTGCCATGAACAGGGACCCCTACCACTAGATCAGGTTGCACAAAAACTTGTCCAACCTGGCCTTAAAAACCTCCAGGGATGCATCAGCAACCCACCTGGGCAACCCATTCCAGTTCCTCACCACCCTTATAGTGAAGAATTTCTTCCTAATATCAAAACTAAATCTTCCCTCTCTCAGTTTAAAACCATTACCCCTTGTCCTATCACTATCTTCTCTGATGAAAAGCACCTCCCCAGCTTTCCTGTAGCCCCTTTCAAGTACTGGAAGGTGCTATAAGGTCTCCTTGGAGCCTTCTCTTCTCCAGGCTGAACAGCCCCAACTCTCTCAGCCTGTCTTCATAGCAGAGGTGCTCCAGCCCTTTGATCATCTTCATGGCCCTTCTCTGCACCCTCTCCAACAGCTCCATGTTTTTCCTGTGCTGAGGGCACCAGAACTGAACACAGTACTCCAGGTGGGGTCTGACCAGAGCAGAGCAGAGGGGCAGAATCCCCTCCCTGGCCCTGCTGGCCACACTTCTTTTGATGCAGCCCAGGATGCAGCTGCTCTCTGGGCTCCAGCACACACTGGTGGCTCATGTGAGCTTCTCATCAACTACCATCCCCAAGTCCTTTTCCTCAGGACTGCTCTCCAGCCATTCTCCCCTCAGCCTGTATTTGTGCCTGGGATTGTGCCAACCCAGGTGCAGGACCCTGCACTTGTCCTTGTTGAGCTTCATGATGTTGGCACTGGCCCACCTCTCCAGCTTGTCAGGGTCCCTCTGGATGGCCTCCCTTCCTTCTAGGGTGTCAACCACACCACACAGCTTGGTATTGTCAGCAAACTTGCTGAGGCTACACTCAATCTCACTGTCCATGTCTCCAACAAGGATGTTAAACAGCACTGGTCCCAATACTGACTGGTCCCTATATCCAGCATATTTTCACTTTTCTTAAAAAGTAGTCCTCTTATGTAGGACTGTCAGCAATGCATGTCACTCCATGAATAGGCAGCTATTAAATACATCACTTTTCATTGTGATTTTTCTCCAGAAAAATTTGTGTCACTTCAAGTAATTCTCCTGTCTTTACCCAGGATCTGTTTTCTTGTGGCAAAGCTGTACTAAACATGATATATGTAGAGTTCTCCTAGTGATGCAAGAAATTACTAAATACAAAGGCCACTTCAGAAGCTTCCTTTAAAGGCTACTTACCACACTAGATCAAGATAGTGACTGGAGATTTTGATAACCTTTTATATGGCAGCTTTCAAATAAGTCAATTCTAATGCTTTATTATTTGCATGCAGAGTTCCCTTTTGTTCCTCAAACACCAGCTATATCAAAGCACTAACTGCCACCTTTTATGATCTACTGAACTCCTCACTGAGCTTTTAAGACCAAGTAAAGCTACAGGCATGAGCCTATACTAAAAAAAATAACCTCTGATGATGCACAGATGAGACTGAGCACATCTAGTGTGGATGCTGCATGTGGCTTTTGGTTTTGTTCACTGTTTTTCTTGGATGTCATTAGTTACCTTGTCTTACATGTTGCATTGCAGTACTATTCAGTAGCACTGGGTTCTGGGAAGCTGTTAAGAAGCAGCTGCAATTCTATGGAATTTGAGAGGGGAAAAGTGCAGAATAAAGCTCATACTTCCAAAAGTCCATAGGAAAATTGTTGCAGAGTTCTTAGTATTTTTGTTTCCACTGAAAATGAGCCTTTTGTTAATTCTGTTATTTTTTTTGTTAATTTTAATTTTGTTAATTAAGCTTTTTTAAAAGCTTCAGAGTTGTTTTTTTTTTTTCTTCTTAATCCTCCTAGCCACCTTTCAGTCTATGCATTGCAGCTCACTCCTTTGTGTGAATTGTTTCATTTTTGATAATCTGATTTGGGGATACCCGTGACCACCCTCTCAAAAAAGCTATGCTGAGATATTGCTCTCTCTCTTTGCTATTCAGTAAAAATGCATCCAAGACTTCAGAAAATTTAACAGCATATTGTCTGCTAAGCTCTTAAGTAGTTAACTTATCTTGTTTGAAACAGGGTCCTGGTTTGCCCTAAGGTGTCAGACCACGCCTGACAGCTTATAAATATGATGATTCATAAAGTGTGGTTAACTGGGGGGGCTGGGAATGTTGAAGGAAGCTAATCCTGTTTGATAAAGAAAGCAGTGGTTGTCATCAGCTAACAAAGCAAAAAATATGCTCAATGTGAAAGGTAAGTGTTTAAGAGAAACCTCATCTCTTCCTTGAAGACCCTAACTTCAAATGTTCAAGATGTAATTTAATAAATAAATTTTGGATTCTGTTATGTGCCTTTTGTAGCTTCAACATGTTTTTCAAGCTTGCTCCCCCTCCCCAAGTTTGTAGAGAGATTTGGAGGTGAGATTGCTTTTCAGTTTGTTTTTAATGAGGGATTTAATGTATTTCTTAATGAAACAGCATTTAATGCATTAAAATATGACCAAAGGCTCTCTTGCAAGCCATTACTTGTTCATTGAAGCTAAAGGCTTATTTATAGGAAGGTTTCCTGATCAGTCTTCTGATGGATGCTTGTTTAAGTTTTTGTACAAATTGTATTTCAAGTAGCAATTTAAATACTCCTGTATGGTGTTAGTAAATCACCACATGCAGTCAAAACCACAAGACCCTGAGGTAATCAAATATCTCTGAATAAAACAAGCCACAGGACTGTGTATAAACACATACAAATATAGAGGAGGGAAAAATGGCAAGGTGCTAGAAGTCTGTGTACTCTCTAAATATCTAAGATACCAAATAGATAAGACTGTAGCAACAGTGAAAGAAAACATAAGCAAAGGCAGTTACTTCAGCCCATATCTGAAGGCTAAGGCATGCAGTTCCTTTTTGCTCTTGGACAAAACCCAGCAACAGAGACAGACAGCTGTTTAAC